GGCTCCAAAGCTGAAGCCCAGGCTGGACGTCCTATGGCTGGACGCCCTATGGGAACCTATTCCCGTGGGCGTGCCAATGAGCGTGCTCTTCTGTAGATCACGCGTTACCGCAGCAGTGAAAACAGCAGCTGTGGCCGCCGAGGGAGTTGAAGCCCCCGCTCGCCGACGACGCCCACACGTGGAGCACCATCCACGGCGATTGCAGCCGCGGGAGACCACATTACGGACAAGGTTACGGGGGCTGTTGCTACGGCTCCACGATGGACGGCATGGAGGTCTTTCCACGTGTCTTGCTCGATGGCCGACGGGTCTAGCTGTTCGTTGTTGCAGTTCTCGCTGTTCCTCGCGTACATCTCTGCATCGTTGTCACTCAGCGCGACGTGCGGTTCAGGCAGGTGGCTTTGTTCAGGCGTGGTTATCTTTTCGATCACTCGAACGTCCACGATGCGCCTGAACTGCTTCGTGAACTGCTGGAGCTGCATCAGTGCTCTGTTGCAAGGGCGTGAAGCTGATGTACCCCGACATACGAGTTCAGTGGATTTGTCAAGCTCGGACCAGTAATCCGTGCCACGGAGGCCGCCAGGTCTATCTACGAATGGTAGGAACAGACCAAACGAAAACGGGATCCCAGGAAAGCCAGCGATTGAAGGCGATGTCATGTCCAAGATGGACGTGTAAGCAGGCCTAGGCACGCAGTCGTCGTCGATACAGGAAACGCTTAAGCAGCTTGTGTCTTCACCCACATTGGCCAGAGTTCGTAACGGCGAAATCTAAGAAAAGTGCTTGTGACCTGCAATGAAGAATTATACTTAAAAAATTCTGCCTTATAGTCAAGGGATGTACACATGTCTGAGATCAACTAGCTTCACTTGCCATCAAGAATATATGCAACGTTGGGCGTTCTGGTTCATAGCTTGTTTCGAGTAATTAATATGCGTACTCGCAACTGGCGGAAATTTATTTTGTATTCCAAAGCATTTTATTGTCAGGCCCGAGTGAATTTCACCACTTAACAGCCCCCTCGGTATCGATGCACCAACATTGAAGCAGGTCCGTATGCGAAGAGCTTTAATAACGGCAGTACGATACCGTTTAGCGCGGGTGCACGACGTTCCGCAGTGCTGTTAGTGAGCGTCAAAAAACAGACTCTCAGTTGCTTGTGCAAAAAAAGAAAGCGTCAAGTTAGACCCAAGGGTTACCGCTAGGCCTAGGACAAATAAGAAAACACTAGGTTCAGCTATTCGTGAAAAAATAAGCCAGATAAAGCCACCTATACATAAGCGACGCTATATCTCGGAGTTTGACTTGGAACAGAGCGGCAGCGGACAACGACGGGTTACTTACTGGAGTGGCGTTCCAAGATGAGGTTTCAACTCAAAAAGAAACGGGGCAGCCTGCTCTTCCGACACGATCTCGATGGAACTGACGCTCTCGTGTGCACGCGGAGCGACAGCGCGTCATTTTCTTTCTCGTCTTTATATCCACTCTTCTATCATGACAAGCATAATACTAAAAGTACTAATACTAATACTAATAAGCTAATACTAATACATTCAGGAGACCCTACAGGCTGCCTCTTGCGGTGGTCTTCGTGCATATTGGGACTGTAGTCTGTTCGTTTGCTAAATCCACATTGATAGATAGATAGATAGATAGATAGATAGATAGATAGATAGATAGATAGATAGATACAGGCTAAGGGTCTTTGGTACCGATAAGAAATGCTTCACAGTTAAAGTAATGTTATATGGCTATTTCTAAGCAGAAGTAGGATTGCGAAACCAGCGCTATGTGAATATCGGTTTACCTGAAAGACATGGTATCGTATACTCTTTCGGTAATTACTTCTGATTACGTTGTTTTACACTTGATTTTCCATGTAAGCCAAGTGCCGAAATTCTCTTCGTGCTGTTCTTGGTTCTACGTTATGTTTATGTCGAATATTTTTGATGCATCACTGGTGCTGTATATTGGAAGGACCTGATCGGTCTTTTTCTTAGTTTTAGTTCTCATCTTTTTTAGTCTCTCCAAAACACGACCCTGTTTTTTGCGCACCATTTGCACTGTGGTGGCGCTTATTGTATAAAAAAATATAACCACCTCATCTGCTTGGTATGAATGATGATGAGTGGGCGAAGTAGCAATGGGATCATTCGCTGTTATCGCAAACCACACTTGACATTGCCCACTCACGGATGTAAATGAGTGACAAAGCTATGTACACAGTTATACACACTGTTTATTGGTCAGAAAAGGTATGTTATGTTGAGCTGATTTCGTTGCGCCTTCATTATTACTGCCTTGTGGTTCGCGAAATGCGGAGCCAGTGGTCCTTCTATCGAATCTAGTGTGAAGTTGGCAAAGACGAGGTCTATGCGTGTTCCTTTGGAGGTCGTGGGTTGTTTCCAGTCATACAAAATGCACTGCAAAGCGTATCGAGGCGTCATATACTGTACGAGCCAATCGTTGTCCTTGATGTAAAAGTTTAAGTCTCCGACAAGCATACGAGTCCCCCAACTCCGGGTCTTTCGTCATTTTTGTCGCTTTGCCGCCACTCCCTGTGCCTTACGTTCGTTTTCATCTATGACAGATAATATTCTATGGTCGCTATCGTCATCGGGTACCTTGCATGTGCTAACGTGCTTCGTATTCATCGTTATCAGCGTCATCAGCATCGCCGGACCACGGACAATAGCAAGTGTATGAATGAATGAATGAACAACTTTATTTATCCCTTGTTAAAGGGAAGGGGGCAACAGGAAAGGGTGTGGTGGGGATGAACTACTTGAAGTAGTCCTCCTCTACCCTCTCAGCCCACTCCAGGATGGCCTCCTGGATAGCGGGCCTCGAGCTGCGCAAGGCAGCCTCCCACTGCTCCTCACTAGAAATTAGGCGTTTCAGGAATGGGGGAAGAGGGTGCTTAGGGCAGCGCCACATGATGTGGTTCAAGTCTGCTGTGGAGGAGGCACAAAATTTACATGAGGGGGAAGGATAACAGGATGGATGAATGCGGTGTAGGAGGTAAGGCGAAAGAAAGGTGCGAGTCTGCAGCTGTCGCCACAGAATTTCGCACCTGCGTGAAGATTTGCGCGTGAGTGGCGGGAAGGTTAATCGCTCTAAACGGTAGTGTGTGCAAATATCGTGGAATGAAATAAGGCGATCCCGCGCTGTAAATGGCGCCTCATTCGTAGCGAATTGCGACACATCGGATGCGTGTGCCCGGACTGTGAATCCTCGGGCACTCGCATGAGCCGCCTCGTTTCCGGCAAGGCCCGCATGCGCGGGCCTTGCCGGAACCCCTTGTGGGGTTTAACGTCCCAAAACCGCCATATGATTATGAGAGACGCCGTAGTGGAAGGCTCTGGAAATTTTGACCACCTGGGTTTCCTAACGTGCACCCAAATCTGAGTACACGGGCCTACAACGTTTCCGCATCCATCGGAAATGCAGCCGCCACAGCCGGGATTTGATCCCGCGACCTGCGGGTCAGCAGCCGAGTATACCTTAGCCACTAGACCACCGTGGTGGGGCACTAGGCAAGTCTAGACACTAAGATTGTGGTGGTGATCTCTTCCATGCACCCAAAAAGGAGGGCACCATACGGTGCTTCAACCGCAAAACGTCAGGCCCGTGTGCTCAGATTTGGGTGCACGTTAAAGAGCCCCAGGTGGTAGAAATTTCCGGAGCCCTCCACTACGGCGTCTCTCATAATCATATGGTGGTTTTGGGACGTTAAACCCCACATATCAATCAACCGCAAAACGTCAGGCTTCATCGCAGATGTTCCGTCGCTGCTGTTCAAGTAAAAAATTGCACATCATTTTCCCCTACGGGCAACAATGGTGGGATGCGAAAGCATCGCGTGGAGGTGCGCATCAAGGTTCTGTTTCGTTTGACTTGGCAATAACACATAATGAAAGTTAGAGAGAATGCACAAACACAGAGAGAGAGTGACGGAAGCACATCGAACGCAAGCTTCATACAGCGCCGCGACGCTTGTGCCACCTACAGGCGTACCCTTAGTGAGAAAGTGATGTATTTGCAATTATTTTCTGCGCCGAACCTGTGGTGGAGAGGGGGAGAGGGGAGAAAGAGAGCACACACCTGCGTGGGAGAAGAGAATGAGGCTATCATAGAGGGTACCATGATCATCATCGCCACCACCACCATCATATCAACATTATCGTCATCATCATTACTATCTCCACGAAGTGAACCATGGCGAGTGGCAGAAGCACTCAGGGTCGTTCTTACCGTAAAGCACCCTCGACATTGCCCACATTGGCATATAAATGAGTGACATCGCATCTGTATAGCATATACGATGCGCTTTTGCCGTTGAGCCACCCGTGCGTTCAACTCGTGGGCCTGTTGTTGGCGTTGCCGTTTTGCCACTGCTTTCCGAGCTCTCGCCTACGGGGTAGCTTGCTGTCTGCGTAGCAGTTCAGCCACCGCATGCCGCGCGCTTACCTCCGGGGTAGCAGCTTGTTGTCGGCGTTGCCTTGCCCCGCTCTTTCACGGGAGGAATTTCGAAAAGAGTGCAGATATAATGTACACTGACAATACGTTGTCAACAGGCGAAATCAAAACACGTTGCACGGACGGACACTCTGCTGCTTTTTAAAAAGTAATATATACACTATAATTGGGCTTCGCACGAACAAAAGCACTGCCAATAAATAGCGCAAAAAACTTCAATCGTGACATACACCAGCACCGCTCAATAATGTCGTCAGTTTTCAATGCCAACGTTGCAATAAGATGGGGCACTTTGTGCTCTTCCCGAAGGTAACGAGCAAAAGTTAAGAGGAACACTTTTGGAAAAAAATAACACGTAAGAGAGGAAGTAGTGCACGTGGTTGAGAACAAATCGAATCTACAAAAGTGTTAAGCACGCCTGCCATTGCCTTATAAGGAAGGCATTACACCATGGGGAAGTCGGCGCAATTGGTGAAGAGACGCGGCATGTAACGTATGTCCTTAACGGAGGTGCCTCGCATTCAGTCGTAGAAGGAACACTTGGTCGCTGGGTTCATCTTGGAACCCACGGGGCAACCGAAGGCCTTCGCGAATGGGGCGAAGTTCATCACTGCCTTGTTGCAGTCTCCGCCGTAGAGATTGTCGGCTGGAGTCGTGGAGCAACTGGAGAGGCAGGCGGTGATAAAGAACACCTTCTCCTCCGTCAACTCCTGCGACATAATGCAGCAGGGAGTTAACATGAGACATTTGTGCAACAGGAAAACGAGGCCAGTTTTATGCTGTACAGTTTTTTCCCCAGATGGCATGGGCTTCATTTATCCTCCGGATTCAATGAGAAAGCTATCCGTACGATGTATAAAATGGCACAGTAAGATTTGATATTAAGATGTGTACACATGCCTTATTGGTATTTTGATAGTTAGGTGAGATCTTGTTGAATTACAAATTACTGAATAATTTTATCTCATAACAAAAATTTAGCACTGGACAGTTCATTGTATTGTGGACAGCACCTACTAGGTGTTATTCGGATAATACCCTGCCTATACGTAAAGAATAATTTGACTGCGTGATAGTTGGGACCCTGTATATATGCGCCGGCTCGCTATAATTCATACCGGCCTATATAGCTTACGCCTACTGAAAATCGTCCCAATGTCAGGTAATGACATTGTGATACATTACAGCTGAAGCATTTAAGCAAGACAGCCCAGATTGGTGTGATGACGTAACTAAATAATCAATTAGTCATATCCCATCTGCCTTGAGATCGCAATCGTAGTACGATTGCACAGGAATGTTTATTCCCGGAAGCAAAAGGTGTCATGCGAATTACCACCCACTTCTGACAATTGGGTGTCGTTTACATGGAAGTTCAGCTTGAAGGCTGCATAGGCCACTTCCATAGCGGGAACCTCTGGAAAGATGCTCTCGTTTCCGGGCAGGCAACCCAGAGTGCGCTGCTCGAATGTGTCCAGCACGTCGTCACTCACCAATGATGTGATGGTCTCGCCTTGGGAGTTAATCTGCGGAAATTATTTTCCCTATAGTCTACGCATTACAAAATCATGCAGAGCGATAACGGCACCATGAACGCGTGCATTGGTGAAAGTGTTAAAAATTTGCACAAATCAACTCGCCTCAAGCAACACAATACACAGCCCACTCACACATCACACATTTGATAGATTGATTGATATGTGGGTTTTAACGTCCGGAAACCACCATATGATTAGGAGAGACGCCGTAGTGGAGGGCTCTGGAAATTTCGGCCACCTGGGGTTCTTTAACGTGCACCCAAATGTGAGCACATGGGCCTACAACATTTCCGCCTCCATCGGAAATGCAGCCGCCGCAGCCGGGATTTGATCCCGCGTCCTGCGGGTCACCAGCCGAGTACCTTAGCCACTAGACCACCGCGGCGGGTCATCTAAATAGTCACTAACGCGCAATTAATTTCTTTGAGCTTTCGATGGAGGCGGAAATGCTGTAGACCCGTGTGCTCTAATTCGGTACATGTTAAAGAACCCCATGTGGTCGAAATTTCTGGAGCCCTGCACTACGGCGTCTCTCATAATCAGATGGAGGTTTTAGGACGTTGAACCCCACATGTAATCATCATCGATTTTCTTGAGCGAGAGGACATGTGCACCTCAAAAATGTCTAACGCCCATTGCATTGTCTAGTGTTGGCGGCTATGAACAAAGCGACCGTCACTCTGGTAGAAATGTAACTAGTTATCTAACTTGTGTTTTTGATGGAGGCGAGAACGCTGTTGTCCCGTGTGCTCAGATTGGGGTGCATGTTGAAGAACACCAGATGGTCAAATTTCCAGAGCCCTCTACTACGGCGTCTTTCATATTCGTGTGGTGGTTTTGGCACGGTAAACCCCACATATAAATCAATCAATTAGCTAACTTGTGCCCGTAAAAGTAAGTAATTCAAAGTACAAGCAAAGCGCGATGTACTCTGACAGAGACAATCATTGTCGCTGTCAGAGTACATCTATCTGGTGCATGGACTGCAGTTCAAACTTCGTGATTTTTTTATACGAGTAATACGTGAGAAAGTAAATGCAATACAGAGTACATGCATTGAAAAACATTGTCAATGCCGCAAGCAGTTCTGAAACACCCCGATGAAAATGCGTGGCTTGGAAACAACAAATAACCACTTTTCGTATTCCGCAAGTTCGCTTCCATGCACTGCATATTCGCCCAACTAACGGTGGTACCTGCCTGTCATCGAGTGGAAATGAGGCCCTAGTTGCACATGTACGCGTTTTTCTCGTCAGAACATAAGCAAAAATTGCAACTAGCTATTTACTAAGTATTAGATGGCCTCTCCGTTATGCGAAGCGCATTGCAGAAAAGCCAGCTTTATAATTATGAAAATGGTCTATAAGGTTGACAAAAAACGACTCAGGAAGCTACATGGCTTTAGCTGCAGAATAACGCATTATATCAATAAAAATATGTATTAGATACATGTATCTTCGATACTGCCCAGCGCTGCTCGTCAACTAAAAGGAAGTACTGCAGTGGTTGAGAGCACGCTTATAATAGTCACCTTTAACCGGTTATTGCCTGCAACATTAACTGAAAAGACTAAAGAATAGCAAGATGCCTTGAAAAGTAGAAAAATCTCTAATTTTACCTCAAGCGGAAAGATAAAGCGCAGTAGGAGCCAATTGCCCCCGTATACAAGTTAAGCCTAGGAATTAACTCCATTAGATCCGCCCTGCCTTGATTACACAAAACACTGGTTCTAGGAGACACCGAGTGAATCGTTATACGAGTTTTCTATTGATTCATTGCAAACTGTGCTCTAAGCACACTATAAATACAAATGTCCGAGCCGTCTGCTGATCTCCGGTGAGATATTGTGCGCGCGACCATGTTCGGCCATTTAGGCCTCCTATCGGAGCCATGCATACCTAAATCTCTTCCCTCCTCCGGCCCTCCACCGGGACTCCCCCTTGAAGCTGTCGCCCATGGTGGAAGGAGGAAAAAAAGGAGAAATCTTCACGTGATACCGCTAGCAAGCCATCACTATCTGATACCACCTTTTCAGACCAGCGCCTTGTGCCTCCTTTTGCAGGATGGGAACGCCGCAGCGCTGTCAGCTGATATTAAAAAAAAGCGAGCCGAACAATAATAGCGCTTGCATGCCTATCCAGCTACCAGAGTGGATTTCTAACCTAAATTGTTAGACTATGCTTCGAAATTGTAACGTGACGATCCCTCGTAGCGTTTCCTTCCTCCATGCTTTCGCACGTAGATGGGTTGCACGTTTTCTCCCTGGTTGAGCCGCTATAATCGGCTACCCTAGCAAGGTTTCTTTTGCATGCATTTGAACCAGACGACATGGCACGATATTATAATCCTTTGACTCACGGTGACAGCAACGGAAAAAGTAGCCCCGACGGTGGCTGACCGTACCGAAAAAGTAGCTGACAATACAATGTAGTTGTGTATTTGGGACTCAGGTCAACGTTTTGTACGTCTGTCTTATCTAATATACGTGTCTAACCTAATCCGCCAGCAATCCCCAGAAGTACTTTGGAAATATTGTCATTTTTTCATTACATCGATGTTAAAAAATTGCCCACCCACTCAAACTTCTACGGTAATCTCATTATTTTTGCGTTATGCAGTGTTTTGAAGTACAGAACTGTGAAGGGCAAGGGAAAGTTTCATAAACGCTTCCAAACATACGTTAGTACACCACGTGATTCAAGAGAGTGCTGTAACACATTTTACGAAAGTTAATAGCTAACACTTCTTTGTGTCAACAGAAGTCTTTGGGCATAAAATGGGACGATTATTCCGTATAGTAGCATAGCCAATCAATAAATGGATCGAGCCTCTCATCTTTAGTTGGGGGAGGAGGGAAAATCGGTCGCTTGAGGTGAGTGGGTGTCGTCACTAGTAGTTACTACCACGACAAAAACCCTATGACAGCATAAATACGGTTAGTTTGCGCTCACAGTAGTTCCTTTGTTGTCACAATCGATCGTAAGAGATGGACGACAGGCACTGCAGAGTGGGGAGTGGTGGTGCCGACAGAGGCTTCGTGTGGGCGATTGCCCACGCCGCACTTTCTCCTCAGCATACCCCGCCCCGCCGCGGTGGTCTAGTGGCTAAGGTACTCGGCTTCTGACCCGCAGGTCGCGGGATTGAATCCCGGCTGCGGCGACTGCATTTCCGATGAAGGCGGAAATTTCGGAGGCCCGTGTGCTCAGATTGGGGTGCACGTTAAAGAACTGCAGGATGTCGAAATTTCCGGAGCCCTCCACTACGGCGTCTCTCATAATGATATGGTGGTTTTGGGACGTTAAACTCCACATAGCAGTCAATTAATATACTCAGGATCCCCCACAAAGCCAATCACTTGATCTACGATTTCACTGTTGTCAATGTGTTTCGCTACGAAACGGTCACATGCTTACCATAATTCCTTTGTTGTCAACGGCACCCAAAAGGGCACGGGCGTACATGTACAGGATGCCACCATGCAACATGGCGTTGGTGCCATCGGGATAGTAAAGTGGTGGTGCCAGCGCTCCCAGGGAGAGGGAAAGACGGTTGAGCATGTCTACGTAGTTCACGTACGGCAACTTGGCATTGTCGCCGAGCACCAACTCCTCAGCGGCCGCTTCAGATCCAAACAGTTGGCGTTGACTGCGGCGCGTCTCGATCCAAAACTTTGTAAACGAGGAAGCGTAGCCGGGAAAGCTTTTGTAGACTTCCTCCAGCACATTCGCAGCCAGAAACTTCTTCGAAGGCCACAAGACTGTGCGGACGTTTCTCAGCTTCCCCACCGCCATATTTTTGATCTTGGCGTCCAACCACTCACAGGTCCTCGTTTTGTTCGATGCCACCTGCGACAGAAAAACAATGCGCCACAATTCGATATGAATATCAGTCGTGCCTTTGTGTGGATATTATCAAAAAAGTCACAGCTTTGCCGCAAAGGCGAAGTAATAGACGCGATAGCAACAAATTAAAAGATCGCACGCGGAATGGCAAGCAGATCGAAACGTGCCCCGCGTTTCTCACGCACAAATGACGCACGAAACGTACTCACAGGTACAGATGAACGCGAATAAGCGTGTCAGTGTTACTTTGCTGTGTCTGAAAAGTGCACCCTTTTCGCAAATGGAGGCTATGCAATGATTGCAGCGACCTTTGTGCGCCCAGTAACAACAACAGAATCGCTCCAGTTCAAGTCTAACGCCAGCAAAGACGATTATCCTCCCCACTGTGAGATTAGGGCGCGCGAGAGATAGTCCATGCATCACCCCGTCCACTCCCTCCTCTCCGCGGGCTAAAGAACGCGTAAGAGATGAGAGCCGCCGTGCGCTCATTGCGCCATCTTGCTGATAACGCTGAAAGCATGATAGTTCCCCCCCTTCTCCTCCCCCGAGGCGCCCGCCAACAGCGGTAAGTGGCAGATATAAATAGCCTGCCGTGTAGAAGTTGAAGGAGTTACCCCTTGGTGGCTGAGTGGTTAACGTCTCGCATTCACGACGTGGAGGTTCCACGAGTGATCCTGTGCGCCGGAGTCTTTTTCTGGATTATATTCTTTCTTGCGTTTTCATGTATATATATATATATATATATATATATATATATATATATATATATATATATATATATATATATATGGAGGAGCCCTAGTGGCGAAAATAAGAACGAAATAGACTTTATAATGACTGCACACCCAGGAATCGTGAAGGAGTGTGCAGTGGAAGTTGGAGGCAGGGTAGTTAGACAGGACACTGGCAAGCTTTCCCAGGAAACGAAGAACCTAATTAAGAAGCGTCAAATCATGAAAGTCTCAAGTACAACTGACAAAATAGAACTGGCAGAGCTTTCGAAGTTGATTAATAGGCGTAAGGTATGCGATGTAAGAAGGTATAACATGGAGAGAATTGAACACGCTCTGAAAAACGGAGGAAGCGTCAAAGCAGTGAAGAGGAAACTTGGGATAGGCGAAAGTCGGATGTATGCACTAAGGGACAAAGAAGGCAAAATAACTACCAATATGGATAGGATAGTTGAAATAGCAGAGGAGTTTTACAGAGATCTGTACAGTAGCCGAGACAACCACGACCTTAATACTATAAGAACTAGCAGTAACCCAGATGACACCCCACCAGTAATATAGAAGAAGTCAGAAAACCTTTGGAGAGCATGCAAAGAGGCAAAGCTGCTGGTGAGGATCAGGTAACATCAGACCTGCTGAAAGATGGAGGACAGATTGTGTTAGAAAAACTAGCCACCCTATTTACGAGGTGTCTCCTAACGGGAAGGGTACCAGAGTCTTGGAAGAACGCTAACATCATCTTAATACACAAGAAAGGAGATGACAAGGACTTGAAGAATTACAGGCCGATCAGCTTGCTCTCTGTAGTATACAAGCTATTTACAAAGGTAATTGCTAACAGAGTAAAGAAAACATTAGAATTCAATCAACCGAAGGAACAAGCAGGATTTAGAACAGGCTACTCAACAATTGACCACATTCATACTATCAATCAGGTAACAGAGAAATGCTCAGAGTATAACCAATCACTATACATAGCCTTCATAGATTACGAGAAGGCGTTTGATTCAGTAGAAATATCAGCCGTCATGCAGACACTGCGGAATCAGGGCGTAGATGACGTATATATAAACATTCTGGAAGAAATCTACAGGGGATCAACTGCTACCATAGTGCTTCATAAAGAAAGCAACAGAATACCAATAAAGAAGGTGTAAGGCAGGGAGACACAATCTCCCCAATGCTATTTACCGCGTTCTTACAGGAGGTTTTCAGAAGCCTAGAATGGGAACAGTTAGGGATAAGAGTTAATGGAGAATACCTTAGTAACTTGCGCTTCGCCGATGACATTGCATTGCTGAGTAACTCAGGGGACGAATTGCAACTCATGATTACGAAGTTAGACAAGGAGAGCAGAAAGGTGGGTCTTGAAATTAATCTGCAGAAAACGAAAGTAATGTACAACAACCTCGGAAAGGAGCAGCGCTTCGAGATAGGTAATAGTGCACTTGAAGTTGTAAAAGACTATGTCTACTTAGGGCAGGTAATAACCGCAGAGCCTAACCACGAGATTGAAGTAACTAGAATAAGAATGGGGTGGAGCACATTAGGCAAGCACTCTAAAATTATGACAGGTAGTTTGCCACTATCCCTCAAGAGGAAGGTATATAACAGCTGTATCTTGCCGGTACTTAGCTACGGAGCAAAAACCTGGAGACTTACAAAGAGGGTTCAGCTTAAATTGAGGACGACGCAGCGAGCAATGGAAAGAAAAATGGTAGGTGTAACCTTAAGAGACAAGAAGAGAGCAGAGTGGATTAGGGGACAAACGGGGGTTAAGGATATCATAGTTGAAATAAGAAGAGGAAATGGACATGGGCCGGGCATGTAGCGCGTAGACAGAATAACCGCTGGTCATTAAGGGTAACTAACTGGATTTCTAGAAAAGGGAAGCGGGTTAGGGGG